CGCCGGCGAACCGGGCGGCGGAGGCCTGCCTATCACAGCCTCATGCCGCCCTTAGTGTGGCCGCGGGTGGACGGGGTGGGTTTCCCCTCCACCCGCATTAGTTTGGCCAGCCGCGAGGGGGCGGCGTCCGCGTGTGCCGGACGTCGCCTAAAGAGAGGAAAATACATTGAGACGGAGCCCGCACCAGGAGCGGGCTGGCGCTAGGAGGGGTCCGGATGTCTTAACAACAGCTGTTCCCGGATCCCTCCTGTTACAGGCGCAGAGTGGCACACCGTGTGGTTTTAGTCGGTCCGAGTCCGACACACCACCCCGCCGCAAACCCCGGAGGGGTGACGGTCCGAGGGGATTTCCACACGTTAAAAAAAAAAAACAAAAAGTATTGTCAATTTTGGTTAAAAGCAAGGTCTGACAGCACATTTAAAGAGAAAATTCTGAAAAATAAAAAAGTTGAAAATTAAGGTAACTTTTGGTACTTAAAAGTTTTCGTGAAAATCGAAATTTGCCCATATCTTTTTATCGTGTTGACTCAGGACCCTGATTTTTACACACCTAATAGGGACCATAGACCTCAGTATCTGGTGTAAATTTCAACTTGCTAGGTCTACCCGTTCCTGAGAAAATTGGTGGTGACACACGGACAGACGGCCAAGAAAGTGATCTTATAAGGGTTCCTTTTTACCTTTTGATGTACGGAACCCTAAAAATTGCATTTTTTATGATTTTACAATCAAACATGACGTCATGGCAAAGGAGCTACATGGAATCTAGAGCATTTATAGTTAAGGTTAATTTAAAATGTTAAATTGAAATGCATTTTAATGCGACTTGGCAATTAAGTAAAATGTTAGATTTTTTTCTAATTATTTAACCTTAGGATCAAATTAAAACACTTTTTGATAAAGATGGGCTCTTGGTCAAGTAGTTAGTGATCGTGATTGCTAAGCGTGAGGTCGTGGATTTGATGCCCACACAGGATAAATAATTGTGTGATGATGAATACTCACTTGTAGATGAACTATGTGCGTTAGACTTCAACCAGTACAACTGAGTGCTTAATGAATACGGAAAAGTATTAGATTTAGTCCTTTCAAATAATTTGACAACAACGTTTGACGTTAACAATTAATATAGAATTAATTGAATTGGCTCCTTTTGCAACGCGTCGTGCTTTGTTTAATAAAGGCGATTCTGATTCATTCAATACTGCTATCAGTTTAATTAATTAGGAGCATGACTTTTCATCTCGCTCAATGGTTCATCTATTAGTAGATTTTTTCAATAAAACAATATTTAATTTTCAAAGTAAATATATTCCCCATAAACTAATCAATAATAAATCTTTTCCTTTCTGGTACAGTCTTATAAAAATTATTAGTTTGTTTTATTTAAAATTAATAAGTGTGATGAGGCCTCATATAAATTACTTCGTGAAAGAGTACAATTAGTAGAATCAGAATATTATAAGTCATCAACCTTACCGAGCAATCAATAAAAAATAATTCCAAATATTTTTTGGTCCTTTGTCAATAACCGTTATAAATCTAATGCTATTCCAAATAGCCTTCAATACGAGGATCGAGATCTGACTACGGGAACAGCAGTATGTGAGGCATTTTGCTCCTCCTTTCAATCAAATTTTCTCAACTCAACGCCTTGTATTCCCGCTACTCCAAATTGTATTACACCGGAACCTCTGCCCGATAGATGAAGTTCTAAGCTTGCTCTGCCGGGCCTGACTGTATGTCACCAAAGCTCTTAGTGGGCTGTGCTTCAACAAACTGCGAGCCCATTTCGATTCTATTTAAAAATCTTTGTCTTGGGTGTAGTCCCTTCGATATGGAAATCGGCGTTTATATCCCCTATACATAAAGAAAGGCCCTAAAACCGAAGTAATTATTTACAGGCCTATTTCTAAACTTTGTGTAGTGGCCAAAGTATTTGCAAAGATTATTTATAAACAAGTATACTACGCTCTGTCAAATTACTGTATTCCTGTTCAACATGAATTCGTAAACGGTCGATCTACCGTCACTAACCTCATATTATTCAATGTTCAATGTTAATTAAAAATTCGATAAATCCGTTGAAATACTCGGTAGTCACGTATTCAAGGAAGTGTACTACTTTAGTATCGAATTATATGTATATAATATATATATATATATACCCAGATGCAACACTATCCAAGACCTAGGTGTCCATCACGACTTTTAAACTCCTATTTGACGTACATATAGACGCGATGGTTAAAAAGGCCTCGAAAGCCTTTAGGTTTTGTCATGCGTATCTCTAAATGCTTTACGGAAGTCAAGAATCTTAAAATTCTGTATTGTACCTTCGTCCGTCGCAATTTGGAATATGATTCTCAAATATGGAACTCGTATTAACAAAAATATGTTATATTATTAAAGTGAAGACATGTAATTAGCTTGCTGATAATATTCTACTGTTAATCTGTTGATTTAGTTATGTCTTCCATAGAACACATAAATAAATATATATGTATTTACAAATATTTAAGTATGTTTGTTATCAGTAGTCTGGTTATTATAGCACAGGCTCTGCCTAGTTTGGGATTAGATTGCCGTGTGTGATATCTGTGAAGTTATAGTATAGTATTGATTAACCTATCACCTGTCAGGTACCCTTAATTTAGACACAATACCGGATGTCCGTTTGTTCTACATTGTTTTTTGAGGCAATATCTCAGTGATACTACTACTAGTGATATACTGTCTAGGAAACTACCCATGGGCACAATTAAACCACGCGGCTCAAATTACTAGGTATTCTGTTTAGTATTTTTTTTGTTCTATGAAGATCTTTTTCATGATGATGGACCTATCAAAAAAAACTCGTTTAATCTTTTAATTGTAATTTACTTCAAAGCAATTCTGTGACAAAGCAATCATACGGATCAAAGATTTGGGTAGACGGTATACTCTAGATTTTTAAATGTATTTAAAAAAAAATAGTTTATTAGGATGGTCAAGTCAACAAAGCAGTGGAGAATCCGTATTCCATATCCATAGAGTTCAGTGCATCACATCAACAGCCTTTAACAGTCCATTGCTAGACATAATCCTTTCCTTAGAAAGGTTTTGGCCACCTCATTGGCCAGACAGGTTGGTATAGGGATTATGTCAAGTTTACCTTCTCTTTGCATTGCTGTAAGTTGTCCTGCGTAGTTTTGCTCCCTTAGTCGGCTCTTCTGACACCCACGGGATGAATAGGGGTGGTGAAATTCCGTAGGTATTCTTAATCCGTCACCACACGGATAGTGCGGCCCTTTTAACTTCACAAATACTAAAATTATCTTATGATAAATAAACAAATAATAATTATACAAGGTATTATACATTAATAATAATTAAGCAGATTAATTATTATTAATGTTAAATAAGTGATTAATAAATACCGTTGAGCGGCCTGGCCTAATTTCACATATTTATATAGAGGTAATAATTTTGCCAAATGTGCAACAGTGTCTTTTGGCGAGATTCGTAATGGTGACCGATAATTTTATTTACAACGGCTCAGTCCGAAGCTGTGGTTTGGATGGCAATACTAATTAATTGACGAGCGAAATGCAAGTCGTCTCGCCAAATTCATCTTCGGGTGATGATACACCTGTCACAACACCGACTCAGTCACAACACACCCTCGCACTTTTCAACACAAACCAAAATGTAACTACTACTAGCGATCCATTACTCATAATTTACATATTCAAAAACTAAAATATTCCAGAACTTTACTCTCCACATTACATTAATGTGTTTTGTTATCGTCATTCTTAATAAAAAATACAAACAGCTAAGGATGTATATGTACTTAAAAAATAGCTAGGCATCGCTTGCTATGTTGCTAACCCTACGCGAAATTACACGACTTGTTAACGCTACGTGTGAAGTAAATCAGAGAATACGCATTTGTTTACGAGTTTTCTGTTACATAAGGTGGGGAATGTGGCCCACTCGTTGTGGAGTCTGTACACCTATTTATACGCTCTTTCCATTCCCGACTGCGTGACACATATTACTTACTCCAGTGACTAAGGGCGGGCTAAAGATAATTTTCCTCCAGCCAACCATTAACCGAATTTTGCACGTCTGATTAACGTTATGTTTTTTTATCTACAGGTTAATAAATTTAGCTTTAACGGCTCCGTGTAAACAATAAAATATTTTGATTAATGAACGACAGTAATAATTCAGAAAAAATAATTATATGATTTTAATTTTCTCCGTTCAATTATATTATTTACTGCTTAGGCTCAAACACAACTACGAAACGATCATTGTTAGAACAATATTTAATAGTTATTGACCTAACACCGAGACAAGTGCGATTATAACATTTACCGGTCTAATAAGTGTTGATCGAACAAACAAATTAACCGTTTTAGTTTCCAGAAGTGTCATATACACACACAATCAATCTTTATAGTAATACCTACTTTATGATTAATTTACTGTAGTTTAAACATTAACAACTATAAACTGTTATTTCTGTTAGACACACATTACTATCTCTTGCGTTTATACTTACTTTTAAAAGATAATTACAGAACTACATGGTTATATTATTTAAAACTAGCTGACCTGCGCAACTTCGTCTGCGTCTCTCAATAGTAATAAATTTTCTCCGTTTTTGAAACATTCTTCATTGGTGCTCCGCTCCTATTGGTCTTAGCGTGATGATATATAGCCTATAGCCTTCCTCGATAAATGGGCTATCTAACACTGAAAGAATTTTTCAAATCGGACCAGTAGTTCCTGAGATTATCGCGTTCAAACAAACAAACAAACAACCAAACAAACAAACTCTTCAGCTTTATAATATTAAGTATAGATATGTAAGTTACATTTCACTAAATTATTTTATTGTTATCAGTATCAGTACAAAATTTAAACTTAATAGGTAAATAAAGTTGCATAAGGTTCACGTCTGTAATGTCGATGAATTTGCACATTTTAAAGTATTTCCCGTAATTAAAAATGTTTATATGTATTAAGTACAGTCACCAAACTCAAGCTGATAAGGTATAATTAGTCAACAAGTAGGTTAAGTTACCGCATGTTAGATCATTTTCAAAAACTACATTTAAGAAACTCCTGCGCTGCAAAGCAATGTATTTTGTATCGTACCGTCGCAGTGCCTGCAGCGCTTGGGCTCCGGGGGTGCGAGCTCGTCGCCGAGTTCGCGGTGTCGTACCGGCATGGCGGCGCATCCCGCGCCGGCGCCGCCACCACCCGTCTGTCAATACGAGGCTCGCGCGCTCCACCTCGACCGCTCCTCTAGAGGCGGCGGCGTCGCAGCTGCCACTGAGCTCAACCAACGAGCCGCCCGCCCCGGGCGGTAGGCGGCGCCCATTCCCCAGTTATTTTGGGCGGTTGTGACTCATGGCTCGAACTGCCCGAAGCGAAGCGAGCGGCGCCTGCGCATCGCAGCCTGTGAGGCGAATGCCGCTTAAGCCTACGCTCACTTTCTATACCCTCCCAATTTTTTTTGCTTATCTAACCATCCCTTGACAATTTCATTTTCAAGTTCATATAATTTCAAGGTATATAATTATATATATTTAGATAAAAATCATCGGATACACATGTATATAGATACATATGTATCTCGTGTTAAACTATTGAACTCAGATATTAAATGTATACGAAGATTTATTTAATTAGCTATAGAGTACTTGTTTAACTTCCAATATTTTGCGATAGATCACAAGCACCAAATAAAAAAGAACACAAACTAATCAAAGAAAGCCTATGGTCTTAATTTGTTTTTGTATTACTATTCCTTCCTATTACTAATTAAATACTATTTTATGTAAATTATAAAAAATATCATAACGTTGTCGTTTAAAAAACTAGGTCAACTCAGATATGTTAAACTAACAAAAGGACTGGACTTAAGATCTTCTTTTATTATAATTTCAATACTATGAAAACACACAGATATAAAGTATCTATAACTGATAAGCACTTAATATTTTCATTCGGTAACTCAGCAAATGGCGACTTAGCTCATCGGGACACGTAGTCATTAGTTGGGTTCAAGTCTCACAGTCAAGTTTCTTTTGTTTACACGCTTTTGTAGTTAATCATTTGAATAACTCCTTGAGGTTAACCTATTTCTAACTGTCGCACAGTTATTTGCATATTAGTTAGCTGGACAAAACCGACCTACTACTAATACAACGGTGTACTAACTAAAAAACAAAACATATTCAAGACTTAAACAATACAGACATATGTGTAACCTGACTATTTCCCGGGTACCTGCTTCCCTATTTATGTACACGTTTTAATTGAGTTCAAATTATGTTCACGTTGAGAATTAGCGTACAATCCGGTAGAATCTAATTGACTAACTAACTTTGATTTGTGCTTTTGACTCCCAATAATTAACGCTGAGGTAATTGGTTATACCGCTTTAATCAAATTTGGACTTTGGTCCGTAAAATTTCTCAGAAATAAATTAACGGGTCTTCTAAATCTGCATTAAGCATAAATCTGCAGAAATCCAACCTCTTCAAAGTATCTCCTTCTTCAATAACTTGTACCAGTGGCGTATAGTGATACACGTATGGGTATAAGCCCGCAATAATCAGAGCACATTTTCCATTTAGAGAGTCTAAGTTCTCGGGCAATAATATTGGTTGAAGTGGTTGGATCCAATCTAAATCGTCCAACTATTTGGTTGTCTTCTTCATCAGTGAAACGTGTTCTAACCAGATCAGATCGTCGCCTTGTCCAACACAATAACACCCGGCACTCGACAGTGCGATATTTATTCATTCTTGAGCCCGTGCGCATACGTATTGGCAGTATCCGTAAGAAATCAAGACATGAACATATTCCTCGTTCGTATTGGTCATCATTTCCAACCGTATCAGAAGCACAAATCAAAGTCCACTTAGCAATAGTTATTCACGAATAGAAAACGAAACAGTCCAAAAATACAATCCAAGTTTTCAACTACCGGGTTTTACGCTTATTCATAACTTCCTCGGTCTTTCATCTATTTTTTTTTTATGAATTCTGATACTATCCTAGACTGTTATACCTTGTTAGATAGCTGAAAATACGTCTATGTTTTTTATGAAATCTGCAATTTAACTGTCATAGACTTCTTATGATATTTATCAAAGAAATAATTTTTATTACAATTTTTTTTTTTTGCTATTATTCACCGTCTACTTCGGCACAGTTTGTTATGTTAACTAGAATTTTAGTATTTGAAATTATAAAATAATTTATCAACTACACAAAAACAGTAAAAGAAAGGAAATAAGTTCTAAAATATTGTATTAGGCAAAATTTCAGCGATTTTTATAAATAATCTCAAGAGTCAAATATCTTGAAAATTGTTATTTTTGGAATATCATAGTATATCATAGTAAAATCGTTCAGAAATTATGGCAACTACAATCTCTAAAGTATTAAGGTCGACTTACCCAGTAACCCTGTATAAAATTGTTCAAAAAATATAAGTATATTGAACGAGCTGTAACGAATAAAGTATGCACATTATTGCTAAAGTTTATTTTAATTATACATGATCAAACATCGAATCGTCTTTCAAAAAGTACTGGGAGATATAAATCTATGCTTATTAACCTCATTTAGAAATCAAAAGAAATAAATTATAATTTAGTTCAGCTAACTTGTTCTACACGAACCACTGTCATAACGAAATAAATACATCCATCGACACGCAGAAGGAAAACGAAATAAAACTTTATATAGTTTTAATAATGACAAAACTAGACACCTTGGTACTGATTCGATAACCAAGTTAGTTGATAGGTGGGGGAACCTCAGCTGAACACGAAGGAGTCGCCATCACCGGATATGGTGTGGATGGAACATTACATTAAGACCGATGGTGAAGCTCATGGCTTCACCATAGCATCAGCACCAACCACTTCACACACACACACTCTTCAATGGGTGTGGTATGTTGTGGTTAGTTCTTATGGTTGGTCGTAATAAAAAATCGTTCAAAACTCAGTTACGATCAACTTTCGGCCACAATAACATTTGATCACATTACAGTCAACGTTAGATGTTTAATACTTTACTTCGACAATACCTTCTATGACATTTGTGAGATTGAGAGCAGAACTAAATTTTGAACGAATTTTTGTATTCCGAGCATTACCCCCTCATCGTCCTGAATATAGAATATACGAGGTGTATTAAAAAATACGAAAATTTTCGTTTTATGAAAAAAATATTTATTTATTAATCAATATCTATTTTGTCCCCTTCAAAGTAATCCCCCTCGGATGTAATACACTTGTGCCAACACTTTTGAAACTCGATCTTTGTAATAGCTTTTAGCTCTTTCAGCGATTAGCTTTTAATGTCATCTATGCTTGTAAAACGACGGCCTTTTAATGTTCTCTTTATTTTTGAAAAAAGAAAAAAGACACACAGTCGCAGCCATATCTGGCGAATATGGAGGCTGAGGCATCGTTACAGTTTTGTTTTTGGCCAAAAATTCACGAACAAGCAATGAAGTGTGAGCAGGTGCATTATCGTGGTGCAAAAGCCATGAATTGTTTTGCCACCAATCCGGGCGTTTTTTTCGGATTGCTTCACGCAAACGGCGTTGAACTTGTAGGTAGTACTCCTTATTGATTGTTTGACCTTGTGGCAAGAATTCATGATGCACTATGCCATTAAAATCGAAGAACACAGTGAGCATAACCTACACATTCGACCGCACTTGTCGAGCCTTTTTCGGTCTTGGCGATCCAAAATGCCTCCACTGGGACGATTGAGCCTTAGTTTCGACATCATATCCGTAAACCCATATTTCGTCACCTGTTATAACACATTTTAGTAGTTCTGCATCGTTATTAACTTCATTTAGCGACTCTTGAGCAACTTCCATTCGCCGCTGTTTTTGTTCGAAATTTAACAATTTTGGAACGAATTTTGCTGCCACACGTTTCATACCCAAAACATCCGAAAAAATTTCATGGCATGAGCCAACTGATATGCCAACATCATCAGCGACTTCTCTGATTGTGATTCGGCGATCGTTCATAACCATTTCTTTCACTTTTTTCACGTTTTCATCGGTTGTTGATGTGCTTGGGCGTCCTGGTCGTTCGTCATCTTCAACGTCTTCGCGGTCATCTTGGAAACGCTTATACCACTCGTAAATCCTTGCTTTACTCATAGCAGACTCACCATATGCCTTTGTTAACATTTTACAAACTTCACTACACTTTATTTCATTTTTTACGCAAAATTGAATACAAATTCTTTGATCCATTTTTTTTCACAAACGAAAATCGCCGAGCTCGAAAAACACATCTAACGTTAGCGGCTGCCACTCAAAAAGTAAGCAATGAATATTGCTGAAAATTTTATCGTACTTCAGGGGCATGTGTACCAACATAATAAAAAAAAAATTATACAGGCGGACTCCCCAAACCCGCGAAATTTAAAAATTCTCGTTACTTTTTGAACACACCTCGTACATATATTATGAGCTTACTTTGTATCTATCCAAAATTTATAAGTGCCAGAAAAAAATATCATGACATGAGATATGTTAATACAAAAATATTAATTTTCTTTAAATAATACAACAGTTTTTTTTTAAGATAACAAACAACAGAGAATACATACACTGCAGGGTAAGATTACTAAATGCACTTATAGTAAGGAGCTTTTGCTCAAGATTTTTATAATCAATCATATTTGATAAACTTTACTGAAATAGAACAAACTAACAAAATCTGTTTGCTAGAAATTTTTAAGCAATGTCTAATAGATTTAAATTTCATATAATATGATTTTATTACTTCATATTCTATATCTTAGTTGCAAATTGTTAAGAAAAATGTGCTCTACCATTAAAATGTTGATGAATTGTGATGATTGTAATTTATATTTTTTTGCAATAATATTTTTCATCATCATCATCAACAGTCTTTAGTAGTTCACTGCTGGACATGGCCTCTACAAGGAGGTTTTGGCCTAGTATACTACATATGAATAATATTGTTGTGTATGTTTATTGTATGTATATCATATATGTAGGTACCTTGATGAGGATACACCAGTGTGAATGTAACCGTTGCTTTATTCACTCGTCCTACTAACATTTGTAACAAATATAATAATGATATAGAAATTAAAAATTAATTAAATTATTTTTTAATTAGCGCGCGTCTATGTTGGCGATCCGTGGCGGCCATTTCTTTTTTGGTTTTGGTTACAATTTTGTCTGTCTGTCTGTTTGTTCCGGGTAATCTCTGGAACGGCTAGACCGATTTCGACGGGACTTTCACTGACAGATAGCTGATGTCATAAGGAGTAACTTAGGCTACATTTT